AGATATATAGAGAGATATAGATATAGATATAGATATATATATAGATATTCGTGGTTCATTTAAACCTTCCTTGTCTCCTTTTCTTTCATGCATGTCTGTAGTGAAGCAAAAAAGTGCATTTGCTCCAGTTCTGAAGCTGCAGTCCTCAACAGAACAAGCTTCAGGTGTCCCCGTCTGCACGGTAATGGCACATGACATGCATGTATTTACACACAAGCTGCTCGCCTGCTCTTTTCGTCTACCCTATAATACCTTAAATTGTGACAGTACATAATGTACTGAGTGTGCAAATTTGACAGACTCATGTCTATTCTGTTTGTTTTTTACAGCCTTGCATGGACTAGTGACACCAGTCACACTCTCACATGGACAAATGAAAAACTCCATTTAGAAGTTGTGATCTTTGTAGTCAGGGAACAACAGCATCTGTTTTGCATTTTGAAGGTTCTCCCAGTGCAGGCAATACAAAAACAATAAAAATGTTAAATCATATTGGTTGGTGATAAAGCAACTTTTTTGTTATATGTCATAGACAATATGCACCTCTCTATTATTAGTGTATTTGTGGTCTGTGCCCAAGCCATTAAATATAAATATTACCTATGTATGTTAACTTTGTGTGTCTTCTTGCTGAGTTCTGATTGGCTACTTAATCCCTCAGAGCACTAGAAATGTTTACATTTACACTATCATTCAAAAGATTGGGGTCAGTAAGATTTTCTCTTATGCTCAACGAGGTTGTCTATTTGGTTAAAATATTGTGAAATATTATTACTATTTAAAGTAGCTGTTTTCCATTTTAATGTTTTCAAATGTAATTTATTCCTGTGATGGCAAAGCTGAACCTTCCACAGCCATTATTCCAGTCTTTAGTGACATTATACTAAAGATTATACTAAGCTTTTCCTGGAACATTTGTCTACTAAAACACTATTATTTAAAGAAAAGGAAAAATGGTCTAAACATTGGACATGGATTGTTACTAGACTAACTGGTGACAATGACGATTATTTTCTAACAAGGATTTATTTCAGCCCAGGTTTCACATGGACTATGTCTCTACAAGTCTATTCTTCATGTCTCATTAAATTCTCATATAGGTTGAGAATTGCTCTTATGGCAGGGGAGGCAGCTCTGTTTGTGTTCTAGAAGATACTTCACTGAATTCTCAAATTAGCTCTCTTTCAAACGATCAAGTTTTACTATAAGGAGGTGGCATCAAAAATAAAACCAAATGCTGAACATGGAGTTTGTCTCTTAGAAATCTGAGCGCATGAGTGAGTCCTCCCTGTGTGTGAGAGAGGAGGCTGCACATTCACCTGAACACTGAAAATCCTGTTGTAGATGTTAAAACCCCTTCACAATGTGTGATTTGTTTTTTGTTCACATCTGTCTTTATGAAATGGAGTGCAAAATGAGGAGTTATTCTCTTTAATAAGAAGAACTAATGTATGAATCAAGTATATTATAATTTTTCTGTTATCAAGAAACATTGGACATGGATTGTTACTAGACTAACTGGTGACAATGACAATGATAATTTTCTAACAAGGATTTATTTCAGCCCAGGTTTCACATGGACTATGTCTCTACAAGTCTATTCTTCATGTCTCATTAAATTCTCATATAGGTTGAGAATTGCTCTTATGGCAGGGGAGGCAGCTCTGTTTGTGTTCTAGAAGATACTTCACTGAATTCTCAAATTAGCTCTCTTTCAAACGATCAAGTTTTACTATAAGGAGGTGGCATCAAAAATAAAACCAAATGCTGAACATGGAGTTTGTCTCTTAGAAATCTGAGCGCATGAGTGAGTCCTCCCTGTGTGTGAGAGAGGAGGCTGCACATTCACCTGAACACTGAAAATCCTGTTGTAGATGTTAAAACCCCTTCACAATGTGTGATTTGTCTTTTGTTCACATCTGTCTTTATGAAATGGAGTGCAAAATGAGGAGTTATTCTCTTTAATAAGAAGAACTAATGTATGAATCAAGTATATTATAATTTTTCTGTTATCAAGATTTGCTCGACCTGAATCAATCGACATTAAATATGTTATTATAAAACGCTGCTGGCAGTGAGGCAGATTGAGAGCAAAATTGTCCATTCACAGAGCTGAGCGCAAATATGCTGCGCTCTGATTGGTCGGTTGTCCTTACATCGTTTACCAAGCAGGAAGTGAAATTAATGTTCAGTCATGTTCCGAAGACATTAAAAACGTCCCTGGCGTCCATTGCTCGTTGTAATCATGTATGTTGTATCTATGTTATTTTTCTGTTTGCTAATACGCTCACAAGTGTAATAAAAAAAGAATGTCATCTTGTAATTACTGTAGGTGATTTTACTTCGGCGTGAAAAAGTAACTTGATGTTTTGAGTGTGCAAAACTGCGTGCGAGTTTTTGTCTCACGTGACTTCAGTATATATATTGCATGTGTTTAACAGCGTTTTGACAGCAGATTGCTTGCTGTGTGCAGTTTGTGATGTCTGACAGCGGTTCTTGTGTGCTGCGGGATGTGACTCTCTGCTCGCCAGTAGGAGAAATCCTGCTGAGCGGCTGTGAGAAGGGAGTTCATACCATTAATATCAAACTGGGAACAGACAGAGAGGAAAGGTAACTCTCGCAAACATGACACAAACTGTCAGACATTAGCCAGTCATAACATGTAAACCACACGGTCGCCGTGATTGTGCAAAGTAAGACATGTTCCTGGATCAACATTATTGTCCAAAACATAGACCTAACCCTATCCCTACCCCTAAACCTAACCCTACCCATAATCTCTAAAATCAGAGGGAATTGATAGTTGAATCACAAGGGTGTAGAAGCACCTAACTCTGGTTGTAAGGCTAAAATTGACATTTCCTGTAAACTTATCCCTCAATTCTGATTGGTTGATTGGAATGTTGTTCCAGAATCAACAAGGATGTTGATCCAGGAACATGTTGCACTTGGTGAAATCGCGTTCACGAAACCACACGTAGTGCTTATTGGGGGAACTAAGCTATTTTAAATTCTGAATCAATTGAATCATTTGTTTCACAAAATGATTCACTGTTTCGAAGCGCTCGAAACATCACATGCTTCACAAAACGTTTATTGATGGAGTCGTGTGGATTATTATGGTGTTACTATCAGCTGTTTGAACTCTCATTCTGACGGCACCCATTCACTGCAGAGGATCCACGGTGAGCAAGTGATGTAATGCTAAATTTCTCTAGATCTGCTCCGATATACATTGCATTTTCAACAAAATTTCCTTTAATGTGTATCCTGTTGTAGTGTACAACCTGTTGGCCAGTCAGAAATGAGCCCTGAGTTGCAGCGCTGTGTTGACTGGATTCAGTGCTACTTCATGAAACCCGAGTCCATCAGCGCTCTTCCTTTGCCTGCCTTACACCATCCGCTAATGCAGAGTGGTTAGTCACATACACACACTACTCCACTATATCTGTAGTTCATTTCAAGTAAAAACAAGGCTTTTAACTGCCACTGTTTTCCTCCCTCTTTCTCTTTCTCAGACTCTTTTAAAGCACATGTGCTGTGGACTCTGTTTAAGGAAGTGGGACTTGGTAAAACGGTCTCCTACAAGCAGCTTGCTGAAATGATCGGCAATCCAAAAGCTGTGCGAGCAGTGGGTTCAGCCATGAAGAATAACCCGGTGAGATTGTTGCAATGATCATGACAGATTGATTTATCTTGAGGTATTTTTTCTCATTTGATGCAGCCTTTTGTTTGTTGTTCTCTTAGGTTCCCCTGATAGTGCCGTGCCACCGGGTGCTGCGTAGTTCAGGGGACAGTGGCTCATATATGGGAGGAAAGGGAGATGATATTAAAGTTTGGTTGCTCACTCATGAGAAAAAAACATTGGAGCTCAATGCATCAAAGAGTGAAAAATCCATCTGATGGATCCCAAAACCACTTCACGCTGCTTCTCAGTTTGTTCACAAACATTTTGTTAATTACGTTTTTTGATTTCTGATTGATTGGACAAATTATATTCCACTTTAGCAAACAGACCCTTTGTTGTTATCCATATATCTTCTATAGTTAAAGGAATATATTGGAATTGTGTTTTTGAGAACAGGTGGTTTGATTAGTTCTGGTTGTCAGTGTTACATTGACATTGTTAAAATGTGATTCGAAAAATAATTTTGTATTTATGCTGTTTAATCCAAAGGATTATGGCAGAAATTGTGATTTTTTTTTTATATATTTTTTTTTAGCTGACATGCATAAGTGATATTTTTTGCAGCAAATAATTTTGTATTCCGTATCTCATTTAGAATTATATAAGGAATATTTTAAGCTAATTAACAGCTCTGTAAAGCAAATAAAATATTTGTTAATACTGGATCAATAGTCAATAGAATAATAAAAAAAAAAAATTATATTTTTGAAGGAAGTCTGTTATGCTCACCAATGAAAAAATGTATCATGGTTTCCACAGAAATATTAAACAGTAAAAAATTTCAACATTAATCTCCAATAATAACTGATCATATTTGAGCACTAAATCATTATATTATAATGATTTAAGAAGGATTATGTTACATAGGAGTACAAATAAAAGATCATAAAAAAGGACCCACTTTATATTGAGTGTCTTTATCTACTATGTACTTTTAAATTAATGATTTGATACAATGCATGTATTAGTTACATTAATGTTTTTACATTGTACTTATATTGAAAAATACCCTCGTCTAATTACATCTAGCCCTCCCTTAAACCTAACCAAACCACTAATCCTGTCCCTAAACATATTCCAAGCTTTTGACCAGTAGTGTGTATTTTGTCACACTAATAAATGCGTCATCACAGACATTTGTATTGTTTAATCATTAGCAATTATGTGTTACTCCATAATGTGTCTAACATAATGCAAATTTAGTTATACTCTTGAGCACAAATATCAAAAGTTTCTGATTAAATAGTCTGAGA